AGGCGTTAGCATGACTGATTCATCCGAATTAGATAGTCAGTTAATGCAGGAGGCAGTTTTTTATGCACGTGTCTATTTTCAGGAGAGGTAAACACATTGTGCTAACCCTCTATGTTGGCCCAGGCCATTGAGATTGGTAAACCTACGAGGTGTGATTTCGCCTAAATTGGCCTGCCATGTTTATCTTAGCGGTGGTAGCGGCTGACGCGTCTTTGTGCTCTAATTTGCGAGTCCATAACTCACAGTAACTTGACAAAATGGCATAATTTCGAGCACCTCACCATCTTTGCCTTCTTTATACCTTAGGGAATTACTTTTGGCTTCACTTCACGCAATTAACTTCTCACGAGCTTGAAGATCTGTGCGTTTGCTTTGAGCATTGGGTGTCATGCGATTTCAAAGGCAGCTTTTTCTGTCCTCCACACTGCATCCTTCTTTTGGGTCGGAGGGCGAGACAAAACCAATTCGTAGCATCAATAATGGTTCTCCATTCCTAGAGCCAATCTGCGGCTATTTTTGACCATCAAGGTAACTGTGGGTGGTGGGTTGGTGCATGATGGGAGATAATAGGTCTTGTTACTAGCCTACTAACGTCTGCGTATTTCCCAACGTGCTATTGTGTTGAAGTTGTTGTAACAAAAAAATGCAAAAAGAGGTGGAGGAAGGGGTCACTTCTGCCCTCCTAGCGGCATAACTGTGGAATTCAGCAACTGTGCAATGGAGAGAAATTGACCGAGGATTCTGTTTTTTTTTTTTAAGGTGTAAGTAGGTTTTTAAAAAGTGCTTTTCCTGTTGGTGGTTACCTGTTGCAAGTTCCTGTCCATAAATTTATCAGTGAGAGTGAACCTTAGGTTCCTGCTTCGTGTTTGGAAGTGGGGATGAAGAGGCTGGTAGTTCTGATACAATTCCGTCATAAATGAAGTCTGGCCTGATGCAGTTTGGAGGGTGTTTGAGTGATTTTGTTTTGGTTCCCTTGACCTTAACACACCAAGACTTAGAGTAGGTCATTATATATCAGTGCAATTTACTTGTGGTGGATTTTATTCGGTAGATCTCTCTACATTGTACCAGCAGCAGAGGAGGCTTCTCGATCGACAGCAAAACCTCTCGGATCTTGTCATTCATGATAATTGTTTTCTCTATGTTTCACTGCTACACACGAAACATGGTTGGATAACGCTGTTTTGGACAACTTTTTCTGTTTCTTTTTAGGGGTTCTTTTGTGTAATGCATTTGCTTTATCGCCTTCTCCTCCTTATTTAAGAAAAATGAGTATTCTTTGCTCCTGCCGGTAGGACGTCATCTGCTTTGCCTATCTGTATTGGTTCGCGATTCGACTTAATTCTAATTAGTAGTATGTTCAGCATTGCTTTAAAATCATACAATAACAGGGCAGCAAACAGCTTCCACAACAGTGCGGAAGTAAATATGGATGCTTAAGCAGACTTCTCGGGGGGATGAGCTTGCAATGCGTTTAACAGCGTCGGCCTTAACGACTGGCCTGCTTCCCTTCTCCCTCAGGGTCCAAGTGTCACTGAGGCGCTGGCAGGACCGATGCGGGACCACTTACGCTACCTGGTACTGCGTGATCTTCACTTCTTACAACCCTGGTACCATGACTGCATTCGGCGTCGTGAAAGCGAACGTCGTCTCGAGGAAAACAGTGGTGGCAATGGCAGTTTCTTGTAAGTCCTCCCACTCACGCAGACCCAACTACGGTCTATGCCAACGTCATTTCATTGTTTTTCTCTAGCTCACACCTTCCTTCTGCTAAACAGCAAATGCTTCTCTGTCAAGGTCCTATCTAAATGGGTTAGCTGGATAGATGTCGTGATTCGTCTTCGTCAAGGTGGTATTCAGCAAATTGGCTCTAGACACCAAACCAAATGACCGACTAGGTTTTTTTTCCAGGAAATTAGTACCTTCCAAATAGCACAGTTGTCTACTGAGATGTTTTAAGTTCAAAAGACTGCCACTTGGTCTTTTTTTGCCATCGCTGAAGTGTAGCAATCGTCACCTTCGATTCACATCTGGCAGAACATTGAAGGGGATTGCCTTCTATTCTTTCGAAATAAATATCAACAGAAGGAAATGCCAGACGCTGGGTCATAAAACTGCACAAATGGAACCCAGGCTCTTTTATACCCCAGTTTTAAGAGTTGAGATTTGTCACTTGTGTCATCACATTTTTTAATCTCAAGTGAAGGTAATTTCTTGAAATGGGTGCTTGTATTAGACCAAGGAAACCCTCCAAGTGGATTATTTTTGTCCTCTCCTCTTCCTTATCTCCCATTTTTCGTTAATTTAAATCTCCAAAAATGAGGGCTTTTCTGTGGTAAGATGATTCAAAGGTGCGAAGTAAGTTTGAGGTGAATCACTTATCCTTAAAATGTCAAGGGGTTATCAGTTTTGATTCCGGCGGTTCCACTACCCAAATGCTTCCTCCTTTTTTTCAAGACGATGCACAGACCGGCTTTTAGAGGACATCTTAAACTGCTTCCGTCTTTTTATGTTTGAGAAGGCTGGGTGGTGACACCATTCGACTATTTCCCTCTAACAAACAGAGGTGGTGGAGTTGCAGACAAATACATACAACTGAATGTTTTGTACTGAAGGCACTGAATATCCACTCTGTGTACGATGATCAAACTGCAGCAACTTGCACCACACTCTTCTCTCTGAAATGCTACGAGGCTACAGGAAAAAAAACTGGATGCACCTATTTACTGTGGCCTCCACACTAGCCCATTTTGGATGCAGGTGTCCCCTTTTCTTGCCCCCCATATGGTCCTCTCGGTTTGTATGCGTGCATGCATGCGTGCGTGCGTGCGTGCGTGCGTGCGTGTGTGCATGTGGGTGTGTGTGTGTGGCATGTGGTTACCGGTAGTGAAATTTACTACTCCTCCACTTCGCGTCCCGTTTTCTCCCTTCAGTGTTCTGAAGACACACTGTTTTACCAGAAAGTCTAGATTTTATCAAGCATATTTTATTAGATAGTGTTAGGCGCTCTTTCGCGTTCTAATCACTCTCCTCTCACTCGCCCTGTCTCTCTCTCTCTCTCCTTTATGCACCAAAACTAAGTGAATTGCGCGCCGACTTATCCCGCGGATGCGTTATAAAATAATAATGCCTGGAAAGCCTAAAGCCTCGATGTCTGTGACGGCATTGACAGCGCCTTGCATTCCTAGATCATGCCAATGAGGGCTACCTCATCACCTAGCCACCTTCAATGGCCACTTCTTCAACCCAGTAGGCTAAAATAATAAGTTGCAAACCTGAGATTCAAATTTTCCATTTAAGTGGAGCAGGCTGACAGTGTGGAGGTGTAATGGCGGGACCTCAATGCGTGGACATCATCCTAGCAACACCTCGTGATCCCAACCGCTGATTAGATGTTCAAAGGTGTTGTCTTTTGATGAGTAAAAAAAAACGAACTTCGTCACTGCGTGTGAAGGTATGCAAGCTGTTTTCCTCTAGACGCAGTGAAACGAAGCTCCAATGTATTGTCACTTGCAGCCTATGGAAGGAGTGCTCCGACAGGCTACTTTATCAGTCAGGGTGGTCAACATTCACTCAGCCAGTTGTGTTGTCAAGCCGTCCATCCAAGAGCGCAATGCGTTGCCTCAACAACTGTGCTTGTCCGGTCGGGTTACAGTTTGCACCACTTTTTCCTTCCTTAAGTGTGCACCCTTTTTTTACTTCAACTCATATTAACGGTTTTCATTTTCACCATCAAACTTGCGTTTAAGTCCTTCCTAATTGACAGATCAAGCCTCGCATACACTGCCATTTGAATGTACTAATGGGTTACAACGACGATGAAAAAGGTATTTTGGGCACTCCTTCACCCCTGAACATTTGTCTGGACTGAAATTTCCCCCTATCTGGCGAGACTGTTGAGAAAGCCTTTGTTAAAACGATCAAAGTAGAAACAGAGGAAGTGCAGACATCACCTCATTCACTGGTCGCAGTGTTTGGTGCTTCGGAGCCACTTAATTGTAAAAGTGTCTTCTTCCGTCCCACCAACTTCCAAACAACTTCAACAACAGGATCATTTATGTAAAAAAGCTCTCGAGGCTTGGACACTTTTGTTTACACGTCTATTTCCCTCCAATAATGACTCAACCCTGTCCTCCTGACGGTGGTTTGTACCAACGAACTGATGCACTTGACTGTGGCAACGAGATTACAAATGCAAAAGGGG